TTCTTTCTTTCTTTCTTTCTTTCTTTCTTTCTTTCTTTCTTTCTTTCTTTCTTTCTTTCTTCTTTCTTTCTTTTCTTTCCTTTCTTTCTTCTTTCTTTTTCTTCTCCCCTCCCTTTCACTCCTCTCCCCTCTTTTACTTCCTTCCCTCCCTCCTCCTTCCTTCCTCCCCTCCTTCCCTTCCGTTTCTCTTCCTTTTCCCTTCCTTCTTCCTCTCCTTCCTTCCTCCCTCCCTTCCTCTCCCCTCCTCTCCCTTCCCCACTTCCCTTTCTTCCTTTTCCCTTCCTACCTCTCCCTGCCTCTTCCTTCCTCCCTCCCTCCACACCTTCCTTTCCTCTTCTCTTCCTTCCTCTCCTTCCTTCCTCCCTCCCTCCTTCCTTCCCTTTCTCTTCCTTTTCCTTCCTTCCTTCCTTCCTTCCTTCCTTCCTCCCTCCCCACCTTCCCTTCCTCTTCTCTTCTTCCCTCCCTCCTTCCCTTTCTCTTCCTTTTCCCTTCATTCTCCTTCCTTCCTTCCTCCCTCCCCACCTTCCCTCCCTCTTCTTCCTTCCTTCCTCCCTCCTTCCCTTCCCCTTCCTTTTCCCTTCCTTCTCCTTCCTTCCTCTTCCTGCCCCCTCCCTCCCTCCCTCCCCACTTTCCCTTCCCCTTCTCTTCTTTCCTGTCCTCCCTCCCTCCTTTCCTCCCTCCTCCTTTCCTCCCTCCCCTTCCTCTTCCTCTCAAAGCCTCGCTGCAAAACCGAAAGCCAGCCGGCCTCGCCTCCTTCCTCCCTTCGCCGGCGGGGCGCTGCGGAGGCAGGCAGGAAGCGCTTATAAAGGCTCCGGCGTGCCAGGCTCGCCAGTCGCCCTCCGTCCGCGTGCTTGGCCTCTTTGTAGCTGCCGTTTCTGGACTCCTCCTCTTCCGAGATGCTAGCGCTGCGCTCGGCCAGCCGCCTGCCGCTCCTCCTGGCGCAGCCTCAGCCGCGGGGCCGCCTGGCTGCCGCCGGCCGCGAGCTGCTGCTGGGGAGCCCGGCTGCCGTCTCCGAAAGCCGCGCTTGCAACAGCAGCAGCAGCGGCGGCAGCCCGAGAGCCTCGCCGAACCCGCTGGTCTTCCTGGAGGTGGGCGCAGACAACCAGCCGCTGGGACGCGTCGTGCTGGAGGTAAGCGGGACGGGCTGCTTGGAGTGGCCAAGGTGCCCTTGGGCTGCGCTCCGGCGCCCGTTAAGCGGAGAGGCAGCGAAATCCGGATCAGCACTGGATAGGGCTCTCGCTCAAGCCTTATATACTCTATATATTTATTATTTATATATATATTTGTAAATAAATAAATAAAGGGGGGGAGAAAAAGAAAGAAAGAAAGAAAGAAAGAAAGAAAGAAAGAAAGAAAGAAAGAAAGAAAGAAAGAAAGAAAGAGAAAGGGAAAAAGAGAGAGAAAAAAGAGAGAAAGAAAGAGAGAGAGAAAGAGAGAGACAGGGAAAGAGAAAGAGGGGGAAAGGGGGAAAGATAAAGAAAGGGAGGGAAAGAGACAGAGGGAGAAAGAAAGAGAGAGAGGAAAAGAGAGAAAGAGACAGGGAGAGAGAAAGAAAGAAAAGAAAGAAAGGTCCACAACCTGGAGTACCGCATCCAGGTTTGGTCTCCACATTACCCAAAAAACATAGGTTGAGGCTTTGGAAAAAGTACAGAGAAGAGTAACTAGTAATTCAAGGCCTGGAGGCTAAAACCATAGGAAGAACAGTTTTGCAGGGTTGGGTTGGCTAGTCTGAAGAATAGAACGACCAGGGGGGGACATGGGAGCAGTATGTTGGTGACTACATTACAAAAAAGAGGTCGAGACTTTGGAAAAAGTGTAGAGAAAAGCAACTAAGATAATTAAAGGCCTGGAGACCAAAACATATGAAGAACGGTTGCAGAATTTGGGTATGGCCAGTCTAGAGACAAGAAGAACTAAGGGGGACATGATAGCAGTGTTTCAACATCCAAGGAGCTGCCACAAAAGAGGAGGGGGTCAACTTATTTTCCAAAGCAACCGAGGGCAGGACAAGAAACAATGGATGGAAACTAATCAAAGAGAGAAGCAACCTGGAATTAAGGAGAAATTTCTTAACAGTGAGGACAATTAATCAGTGGGATAGCTTTTTTTTAATTGAATTGAATTCTTTATTGTCATTGTATGATGTACACAGTATACATACAATGAAATTCACAATTTGGCTAGTTGACAGATACAGAGGTTAGATGAGTGAGTTTATGTGAAAATAAGGACTGTGGGAAAAAGAAACTGATTAGTAAATATTTTGATGGTTATATAATTGATGTTTATATGGAAGATTGTATAATTTTAAATAATGATTGATATTATCTAATATCTTTATATATTTACTAAATATTTATAAATATAAATAAACATAATATTTATTATGTTCTATAATATAAGAAACTAGTAAATATTTTGATGGTTATATAATTGATGTTTATATGGAAGATCGTATACTTTTTAATAACGATCGATATTATCTAATATAGAATAGAATAGAATTCTTTATTGGCCACACAAGGAATTTGTCTTGGTGCAAATGCTCTCAGTGTACATAAAAGAAATGATTTACATTTGTCAAGAGTCAAGAATCATAAGGTACGACACTTAAATGATATTCATAGGATACAATAAACAATCAAATCATACTAGGAAACAGTCAAGATAGATCGTAAGGATGCAAGCGACAAAGTTACAGTCATACAGTCACAAGTGGGAGGGGATTGGCGATAAGGAGCGATGAGAAGGTTAATAGTAATAATAGTGCAGACTTTGTAAATAATTGAACAGTGTTGAGGGAATTATTTGTTTGGCAGAGTGATGGCTTTCGGGGAAAAAACTCCCCTTGTGTCTAGTTGTTCTGGGTGTCCATCCCAAATTGTCTAGCTAAAAGTCTGTAGAGATTCTTAGTCCTCCAGGTCATGGTTGTCCCAGAGGCGCTTTTTCAGGAGGCAGAGCTGAAGAAGCTCCTTGGAGGAGAAGTGAAACATCTTCAAAGTAAAAAACAAGAAAGTCCAATGGCCTCCTGGAAAAAAAAAGCATCTTTGGGACAACCAGGACCTGGAGGACTGAGAATCTCTACAAACTGCTATGCCCTGCTCTCGGTGTGCTTACCAACAAGGAGAAAATATTTGTAGCTCAGAGTTGACACGAGGGGGTCCTTGGTGCTCTCTGAGCTCGCTTGTTTTCTTGCAGACGTTTCATGACCCGACTAGGTAACACCATCAGTGCTAGCATGGAATGAAACCTCTCTGAAAGCACCAAGGATCCTGTCCTTGTCAGTGTGCTGGCATGGAGGCAGGTTGAAAGCTTTAATTTCACCCAGGAGAGGGGAGTGTACCTGGTTACCCTCTGAATGGGGCAACATCAGGAAGGTGTAGACCGGACGGAGAAGTTAAAAAAAAATAATCTCAGAAGAAGATGGTGGTAGAAAAGATGATGATCTTAAACATGGATGACTGAGGAATTCTGGGAGTTGAAGTCCAACCACCGGCAAGCAGCCAAAGTTGAACATGGCCTGACTGAGGAATTCTGGGAGTTGAAGTCCAACCACCGTCAAGCAGCCAAGGTTGAGAAACACTGGTAGTAAAGATAATGCTACCTAAAAGCCTTATGTGTCGTGTTTGTGAAATTCCAGGAAAGTTTCTTTGCACAAAGAAAACACCATTATTTAAGGAATGGAACTGTATCCATGTTTTTCTTTTCTCTATGCATAATTTAAAATTTGCAGCCGGTTGGGCCTTCCCTTCTCCCTAAGTAAAGCTGTAGTTGGCAGAACAGTTTAACCTCTGCCAGTTATTCTCTTCTGTATGTGTTTTGCCAATTGGCGGCAGTCACGCTGTTTGGTCCCTGCTCTCCTCTCTCCATCCCATAATACCAGCCCCTAGGAGGCCTTCTGTGTTTCTACAGTTGGCAGACATTCAACAAATGGCTGGCACCTCACAGATGTCCATGCTGAGGAAAGTTCACGCTGGTACATCAGAGGGCAAAACAGACCAGACAAATAACAGATAATCAGAGTTGGAAGGGACCTTGTAGGTCATCTAGTTCAACCCCCGCCCAAGCAGGAGACCCTACACCATTTCTGACAGACCGCAGTCCAATCTCTTCTTGAAAGTCTCAAGGGATGAAGTTTCCACAACTTCTGAAGGCAGCTTCTGTTCCATGGGTTGATTGTTCCCACTGTCAGAAAATTTCTCCAGGTTGAATCTCTCCTTGATCAGTTTCCTTCCATTGTTCCTTGTCTGGCCTTTGGGTGCTTTGGAGAATAGTTTGACATCCTCCTCCTCTCTGTGGCATGGCTAGTCTAGTGAAGAGAAGGACCAGGGGAGACATGATAACAGTCTTCCAATATTTGAGGGGTCATGGTTGTGCCAAAAGTGCTTTTTTAAAAAGGCAACTGGACTTCCTTGGTTTTCCTTGAAGCCGTTTTGCTTCTCATCCAAGAACCTTCTTCAGTTCTCACTTGAATGGTGAAGAATTCAGTCTTAATCCATCTCCCCTGTTTAATCAGAACTGAAGAAGCTTCTTGGATGAGCAGCGAAATGTCTTCAAGAAAAACCCAGCCCAGTTGCCTTTTAAAAAAGCATCTTTGGGACTCTCCAAGGTAACAAACTTCAAAGATGTTTGAGATCCTCAGGAACGGATTGTGCCTTCTATCTAGTCATATTCTAGCATTTTGGTCAGATCTGTCCCATTATTAGATTCCCAGTTGCCATGTACGTCTGTGAAAGTTGGACCATGAGAAAGGCCGAGCACCAAAGAATGGAGGCCTTTGAACTCTGGTGCTGGAGAAGACTCCTGTGAGTCCCTTGGACTGCAAGACAATCCAACCGGTCAGTCCTAGAGGAGATCAGCCCTGACCGCTCTTTAGAAGGCCAGATGAAACTCAAAGACTTTGGCCACCTCATGAGAAGGAAGGACTCACTGGAGAAGAGCCTAATGCTGGGAACAATGGAGGGCAAAAAAAGAAGAAGGGGATGGCAGAGAATGAGGTGTCTGGAAGGAGTCACTGAAGCAGTTAGGTATGAACTTGAACGGACTCCGGGGGATGGTAGAAGATAGGAAGGCTGAGAGGAACATTGTCCATGGGGCCGCGATGGGTCAGACATGACTTTGCAACTAACAACAACAAATTTGCAGGAATAAAAGCAACACTGTGTTGTTGCATTGCTAGCTCTGCCCCTTTTGTATGTGCATATGACGGATGAATGTACAAAACAAGCAGAACGTGTGAGCCAGTGACGTGATGTTGACCTTGTTACTTGTCACTTGTCCTTGCTGTGGTAGCCTTGACTTGTATCCCTTTGGGCTTTCAGAGAGCAAGATCGATTAGCAGGCCTTGTAAGCTGGATGGGTTGGCCATAGCCAGAAAAACAAAATTAGTTCTTTCAACTACATGCATTTCTTATTCAATTGATTTAAAGGAATATTGAAAACTCCATTTGAAATTTTCAAATTTTTTCAAATCTGATTTAAAAAATAAATAAAATGAAAATCCTCCATTTCTGATCCCCTCCATCCTGTAGACAGTCAAATGCCTTCTCTTCTGGGAGGGAGGGTTTTAAATATCTCATTTACCTGCATGTACATCCCCACATGATACGTCAGGATTATTCTTAGATATTCTAAAATATTCTTGGAATTTTCCCCCCCTCACATTCAGTGGCATGAGATGAAGCCTGAATGTTTGCCAGGCGTCATGTGTGAGGTAATTTCTGGGATCTTCCTTCCCTGAATCATTATGATGTAATGTATTCACATGTAAATACATGCAACATCACACCCACGAGCCATGTGCATTGTGCCTAATGTCGTAAATTGACCCAGTGACACATTCAAATGGTTGTGAATAACCATCTATAAAATGTCAGATGATAGTAAGCTGACCAAGGGTGTCAAACTGGTTTAGAATATTTATATTACTGTCCAACTCACATCCATAACTTTGGACGGGTTACAACAAGTTCACACAAAAGCAAGAAAATGAAACTTTTCTGTAAACAAAATGAAGAACGGAAGTCAAACAATTGCAGTATAATAACTGAGGCCCCATATAACAAGCAGACGAAAATTCTCAAAATTATTGGGAAGAAGAGACTTGTGTAAGGCAAGGAAGAATTTGACTCCGGCTTTAGGCATACAGGGAAAAATTAAAGCTGTAAAATGTGGAGCTGTGAAATTTCTTTGGCCCGTCAGCAATAATTTACTTTGTCTGATCTGGGGCGTTTCTGCTGCTTTAGTTGAAATAGGAGACATTACTTTGTGACTTACTTTTAACACCCCCGAAGGTGTTAGACTGTGCAAGAGATTAAGTGCTGTGTGTGAAAGGAGGAAATTTTTACAAGGTTCTTGATCAAGAAATGTAGAAGCAGTTTCTATTTTCTCCACAACGGGAGAAAAATGTGCAGAGCCTTTAAATGTTGAGTTGTGATCCCAGATGATTAGGTGTATTTTAAAACAAAAGTGCCTTTTTTAGGTGGCCAAGGTTGAGAAATGCTGCTCTAAACCAGAGGTGTCCACCCTGAGCAACTTTTTAAGACTTGTGGACTTCAACTCCCAGAATTTCTGGGTGGAATGCTGGCTGGGGAATTCTGGGAATTGAAGTCCACATGCCTTAAAAGTTGCCAAGGTTGGCCATCCCTACTCTACAACCTTCTTGTGTCCTGTATTGACGGCTTAATTTGGGGCAGAGTAGGGCTTATGTGTGCAAGGAAGTCAATTCTGTTGCTTCCTTCAAATTTCCATTTGGATATCCTTTATTTTTGTGGGCACATTGCAAACCCTTTACTTCAGTCCTTGGGTTATACAAAATGCAGGCCGTCCTCGTCTTACGACCGCACTTGAGCTCAAAGTGCACGTTGCTAAATTTGCTAAGTGAATTTTGCCACATTCGTTAAGCGAATCACTACAGCTGTTAAATCAGTACCATGGTTTTTAAGCAAATCTGGCTCCCCCATTGACGTTGCTGTCAGAAGGTGGGATAACATGACACACTGCAACCGTTATAACTATGAGTCCATTGTCAAGCATCCGAATGTAAATCATTTGACCATGGGGATGCTGCAGTGGTCATAAGTGTGAAAAGCGGTCATAAGTCACTATTTCAGTGCCATTGTAACTTCAAACAGTCATTTATCTCCTCCCACTTATGACTATAACCGTGTTGCTTGTTCTCTATGATTTATATTGTTCTATTTGTTTCCTAGTATGATTTGATTGCTTATTAGTAACCTATGACTAGCACTAAGTGTTGTATCTTATGATTCTTGAGGAATGTATTTTATTTTATTTTTTCTTATGTACACTGAGAGCTTATGGACCAAAGACAAATTGCTTGTATGTCCAATCACACTTGGCCAATAAAGAATTCTCTTCTATTCTAATTCTATTCTATTGTTGTAAGTCAAGGGCTACCTGTAGAAGTCTACAATACTTGTAGAGGTTTGTTTTAGAGAGGTTATTTTAAGTAAGACAAATTTACCATTATTTTTACGAATAAGAATGCTACCATGCCTGCAAATTCTTCACCTTTGAAGCTTGGAAATTAACGCTTTGTAGCCATTGTCTTCAGCCTGATGTTATTCTCTGGATGACACAATTCCCAAAATTATTGGGTGTTAGAAAGGTTTGGGGGGAAGATGTGTACTTAGGCATTTTTTATGCTTGCTTCTGACTGTTTTCCTATAAATAAAGGTTAATATGTAATACTAGCTCGATACCCGTGCTTCACTACGAAAGTATGTGGTCGGGCTTAGTTTTGGGGGAGGAAAATAAGGGGGAAAAATTCTGCCTCTGCCTTCTAGCATCCATCGGTATTCACCTGGCTAGTGTCCTGTCGGTGTGTGAGATAGTTGAAGGCTGTTTGGAAAGTGAAAGAGTATTTGCTGTGTGAGCAAGAAGGAGACAGCAAGGAGCCTGGGCGTGGCTTAGCTCAATTGTTGTGTACTGAAGCTGCTGGGTGGTCTGAAACTGAAACTCCTCTCCTCTGCTTGTACTTTGCATTTGGAAGGTATTTCTTTTCAGGTGGGGAGGGGGAGTAGAACTCCTAAGCATCAGAGTGTGTGAATAATAATAATAATAATAATAATAATAATAATAATAATAATAATAATAATAATAATAATAATAAT